GTCATTATTATTATACATCTGACGATCATGGTACCTAATGTACCCGATCTCATTAATGCCGCCCAACACTAGGATCTTCCATACGGCCCCGATCGATCACATGATCACATGAGTCATTTGAACCATATTCCCGTCGCACTTTTCCACTTGTTGATTCATAGTGCATTTCGCTATCGATCTGCATCCTTTTTACAAAATACAAAGGCTCTTTGAAAACTATGCGATATAAGGTGCTCTGCACTATTGCAAAACTTCCTAATGGCAAAGCTTGTGGCCCTACTGGCATAAGCTACAAAATGCTTAAGCATTCAGGCTCCACCTGTATTCAAGCTCTAACTGCTCTCTTTAACCGTTGTCTTACCACAGACAACATATCAAAACAATGAAAACATGAAAGAATTTACCCAATTCCCAAATGCAATACCTTCAATAGTGATCTCAACCTTATACGACCCATCAGCTTGATTAAACACACACGAAAAATCTATACAAAATCCTCACCAATAGACTTAACAATGTATTTTCACAGCATCCTATTTTATCTCCCTTTAACTATATCGCCTTACCTGGTAATAGCACCTCAATTTCTATTCACATCCTCAACAACCTCATAGAAGATGCAGCATGCAACCAGAAGAATATATGGCTATTATCTCAAGACATGAGTAAAGCCTATGACTTTGTTAACCTCAATCTCTTAAAACAATCACTACTTTATCTCTCTTTACCTACTCCTATTATCAACACTATTTATAATCTCTTTACAGATCGACACAACCAAGTTATTACTTATTTGGGACTTACTTCTTCATATCCAGTACACAATGGTATAGATCAAGAGGAAACTATTACTCCTCTATTGTGGAGAATCTACTATGACCCTCTTATTACTTATATTCATCACCAATTTACTGGATACACAATTAAAACATCATGGATTACTAATCTTAAAGAAAAAACCCTCAACAAACTTCAAACTCACTGCTTTGTTCTCACTTATATAGATGACACTCTCTGGATTGCATCTTTACAAGCTGAACTATCTCACATAATTTCTGTTGCAGAATCCTTTTATAAAAAGGTCAATATTCAAGTTAACCTATCTAAATTTATACTTAGCACCAATAATCCTTCTTCTAACTATCACTCTATCACCTTCAACAACCATGCTCTCTCTCTATACTCACACTATGAACCTTTTAAGTTCCTTGGTTGTTGGGTTACACTTGATAACAAACACCACAAACAAACACAACTAATTGTTAATGAATCATTCTATTTAATACAAATTGCAAATCCTAAATGCATTACAGATACACATGCTTGTTATATTATTAATACTGTCATTATTCCTACTATTGAATACCATCTACAAAATCTAGTTCTCAGTTACAGTACTTGCAAAAAATTCTCATCCACCATATTGGTCTTGTTAAATGCAAAGCCAAACTTAGTCATACTATTCCTACTACTACTCTTCTACACCTACAACTATATAATATTTATAACATCTGGGATATCCAACTTCAGCATCATATCTCTAACTATATTAAATGACTTAACAACAAAGATCTCTTAGGAATCTGCTTCCACATCTGACTTCAGCAACTTCAAAATAATCTCTGGTCTCCTACTAATATATTTCTACATCCAAATCTAATTATTGATAGACCCAATAAGCTTACTACAAGCTTTAAAATCATCCAGCTATTTAAACACCTTGGACTCTCTATTACTCCCAATATTTCAGAACAGATTCTATATACTATTTCACCAAACTCTACCTCTTTAGAATCTATATTATCTTCATATCCTCAATATCCAAACTTCAAAAAACAACTTTGCTACCACTATATTATGTATCTATATCAACTTACATCCTTTGACAATTCTTGCCTGCTCAGCTGGCAACATATTTCACCTAGAATTCACAAAGTTCCCAAAGGGAGACAACCACTATGGTTTACTACTTTAGAAGATAATGTTATTAGTTATTACTCCTTCCGAATGTTATATAATCATATTCAACTTCCTAATATTAATTATTATTGTTATACTACTGTACATTTTTCTCCACACTCTAAACCTTGGCTAATTACAGCACTTAATAATCAAATTATTATTGATAAAGCCCGTAAGCAGCCTACCGCCTCAGGACAAATCCTTATTATACATTGGCAATGTTCTATTGAATTCCAATTTACTCACCTATATCCAACTCCACCTATTACTAGCTACCAATGTCTAGACTGTCTCTTAAACTCTCATCTTATTGCTAACAAATGCACTACTTTCATTCCAATTAATTTAGCTACCAAATTTTTGGCAGAGTCAACTCTACAACTAAATCTATTAATTTAAATGCCAACCACTTAGACCTAATATATTCTGTTGCTTCTCGGTATCCACTCCAAATTCCACCTGCTTCTAATATTCCTATAGCTACAGCACATATACCTGATATCTTTGAAGCTAATACTCTAAATAACACTCTTCAATCTATTGCTCAACATAATTATAACTATTCTGAACTTTCCTTTTATACAAATGGTTCTGTTATAGAGCTTGGATCACCTCAATGCTCTATGAGAATCGGATGGATACAAATTCAACAAAACAATGTTCTGCACTCTTTTAATGCCCAAATCAAACTCTAGCCATGTTCTTTCAAGGCTGAACTTACTGCCATCTTGTCTGCACTCATCACAGCATCCAGAAACTATATAGTTCATATTTATACAGATTTACAGTCTGTAATATCTAAGTACAACAACACCAATCAAGCTCTTCTAGCCCAATCTCTTATATATACACCATATCACTCTCTATGGTATACTTTAATTAGTTTTATTAACTCTTATAATCTACAAGTTAACTTCCATAAGGTTGATGCTCACTAAGATGATGAATTCAATAACCAAGCTGACTGACTGGTTCAAAACCACTTTAACTCACCTAATTTAATATTTAAACCATATAATATATACAACTCTAACTATACTCTTGCTCTTGACAACTTTCTCATCGAACTACCAATCCGATAATGTATTCATACAATCTGTTATGCTTAAATATATGCTCTCTGGTCATCCCAAAACCAAGCTCAACAATGGTTCCAGGTCCTTAGTGAAATCCACTGGCAAGCTACCTGGCTATATATTAATAACAACTAAAAGATATCCAATTACCAACACAGCTTTCAATTATCCACTTTAAAATCATTTCGCATTAAAATTCTGCTTGACAAATTGTCACTCCACATATCTTACACAAACGTAACCCTGCATATCCACCAGTATGCCATCAATGCAACCAAACTAGCACTATGCTTTACTGGGTTGTTTGTCCAACTTCATAGTTACTTGAAAACTTGATTTCTAGCTCACTTCAATCAACAATTAACTTATCAAGTCTTGACTCTCTAAGTAAATTTATTTCTCATATACTCTAGCAAATCTTGAACCTTCAGTGTATGCAAATTCACAACTTATCTAATTTACTATCCCTCTTATCAACACTCTCAGGCTTTATTCCTATGAACTTATATTAGTTCTTGCTGATATTACATTATCTAACAAAATTGCAATATCTCTTGCTGTCAAATTCTTATTACATCTCAATAAACAAATCTATACCTCTATTTAGATTCCATACTGTATTTTTAGATTCTAAGCTAATATTTCTACTTTCCTATTGCCTTCTTCATCCACTTTATCTCCCAATCTCAGTCTTCACTTTATTCAGTTGCTAGTCACAAATTTGAACTATGGCTTTCAAAATGGATCAAATTCCAACTTAACTTTTATAATATACTTCTCAATTCCCAAACCTAGGTGAGCTTTGGCCACTCTGGTAGGTTTAGGCCGCAGATAATTATTTTACTATAACATTGTGTCTGATTATCTAGTCTTAGCATCCATTGGATATAACTTTCAAATGTAATTTCTTTTCTGTATATAAATCATGTAAAGGAACTCAATTGAATTTTAATAAAGTTAGAAGCATGGTCTCACCTTTTAAAATTAAAAAAAAAAAAAGACAAATATTCAGATAATTATTCAGATATCAATAGTAAAATGTATATCCGAATAAATTCAGATCTGTATATCCAGTAGATAAATGGATAAACAGATAATGGATAGGAACTCTAGTCCACTTTGCATACTGATTTTGAAAAGGTTGACTGTATATATAAATATATAAATAAATAAAAAGATTGATAATTAGATAAAAATAGTTTAAATTTTTTTAATTGCTTTCTATTCTTGTTTCTTTACTAGTTTTATATTTTACTAATTTTATCATCTTTTTTCAGTTTTGTCATCTTTTAACATCTTTGCTATTTTGCTATTTTAATTTTTTTCAGCAAAAGTTAAAACTAGTTTTAATTTTTGCCAATAGTAAAACTTCTAGGTTTTGCTTAACAACACTAGTTTTGACTTTTGCATTTGCTATAAATAGTTTTGCCTAACAAAAGTAGACACCAGGTAGTGATAAAAGAAATATATGACTGATACTAATTGGGACTGATTGGTATTGTTATGACTAGGGGAGAGACTTTGTACCAGCTGAGCCAATTTAGCTTAGGGTCATAAGCATTAATACGAGAAACCAATTGTTATTAATACATACAAGGCACCAAAAGTACTAAACCAATAACTCATTATTGTGTCCCAGATACTAACAGTAACAAATATTATATCCCAACAAGTATATCTGGTATACTAAGAACCCTTTCCAAAGTACCAATATATAAATCTCTAACTCCCAAACTAAAGACTAAAAAAATACCAATTTTCTAACCAGAGTTCTATATGTCCCTCTTTATATAGACTAAACTATAAATAAGCTATATACTATTTACAGATATATAGTATAACGATATAAAGTCTAATTAAAGTATGCTTTACAACTATAAACTTCACATAGCCTATTATAAGGTTACATGAATAAAAAGTTTCATTATTACTTTTTTACATCTTTTTGCATAACAGTATCAATTATGTATTACCTTTAGCACTACCTGTGATCAATCTGCTAATTATAAAGTGACACAAAATTACGTCATTGGCTAGATCAAAAGTCGCAAAATAAAAATTTTCAATGAAAATTTTGAAATCTTCAGCTTTCGTCCTGACTTAGGTTCAGCATTCGGGAATTGAATTTGGATTATCCATAGATCATTTTTAATAGTAATCATATGGTATTCATATAAAATTATGTAATTGACTAATCTGAATCATAAAAACAACAAATTTGACCAATCAGAATTAGTAATTTTTGTGCAACCTAAGTAAATTTGAGGTAATCTAAGTAATTTTATCAATATACAAAGTAGATTTTTTTTAAAAGATATTATATTTATAATTTTACTATACTGGAAAAATTTGGTGAAGATTAATCATGATTCTAAAAAGTTATATCAGTGATGAATTTTTGCTGTCTATGTAAATTTTAATATACCATATAGATCATATAAAAATGATTTATGGACACCCTACCCTTAATTTATAAAAATAATTTGTTTATAGAATACATATAAGAATTACCCTATATTAGTATAATAAGCACCACTATTGTATGAGTAAATATATAGAGCTGACTCAATTAATATACTTGATCATACCATATTTGCGTGTAATAATGCATATGTTTGTTATTTTGAAATTGCCACTTTTTTAAAAATCGCCTATTTGCTCAAAATAATGCACATGTGTGTCCCGAAATAATGCACCCCCAAGAGTTTGCACGATAAATATAATTATAGAGCGCATTTCTATTAAATTATTGGCAATATTGATCCAAAATAACGCACAAGTGCATCCTGAAATAATGCACAGGTGCTCAAAATAATGCACAGGTGTGCATTATTACGCGAAAATACGGTACTTATAATGAATGGCTTTGTTCAGACAAAGAATATAAAATGAACTTGATCAAACAATTTTTGATGATGTTAATATAGTTATTGATCAATTACAACTAGTCAAGTGGAAACTAATTTGTAAAAAGCAATTGATCATAATATTATTATCATATTGAATTTATCAAAAATATTGTTTACTACTTATCAAATTGAATTTTTTAGATTTTTCAAGAATTTTTTATATCGCAAAATATAAATATAACTCCATTACAGTATATTCCGTTTTCTTCTAAAGTTATATCAAAAAATATACTACAGTCCTTTCTCAAACTCCATTTATGGATATTACAAATGATAATATTTAATTGCATAATGTCATATGATGTCCTCTAACAATAATGTTAGAAAGTTAAAAAAAAATTAATTGCTTTTAAATATACATATACATAATTTTTGAAATTAGTAGACAATGTCGCATCAAGTAGTTTTGGTTGTACTGAGTTAAGTCAATCAAGTAGCTTTATTAATATTGAATCAAGTTGATCAAGTAACTTCGCTAATATTGAATCAAGTCAATCAAATAGCTTTTGCGACATTCAGTCTAGTAATTCTGTACAGTATTTCTCGATATATTAAATAATATGAACATTTTTGTGAACCAAATTTAAATATATCAGAATGGATGGAATAAGACACAATCAATATGCAGTTTTTATTTGAACTATTGATTCTTGATAAACAATTAACCCAATTTTTTTATTTTTAGCCGTAACTAAATTATGAATTCAATAAATATTTAGGCTTAGTAAGTTAAATTTTCGAACATATTTATAAATATACTTAAAGAGAGGTTAATTATGACTGTTTTATTCAAGTTTTGCTTTAAACTTGAAATTATATTTCACACATATCTGTGGTTAAATTTTATTTTATTGGCTTAGATCGCATGTATATCATGTGCAAACCCTTGATTGACCAATAAATTGATCTTTAACTATGCTATCTCCAACAGGAATAGTAAATGACCCCAAGTCATCAAATAACGACCAGGAATTTGGTCATTAAGTTCGTTTAGGTCATTTGCATACACAGTATGTTGTTTCATAATCGTAATTGACGAATGTAAATCATCTGTCCGGGTAGATTATTCATATACTTTAAGTGCTTTTTTGAGAACGTAACATCTCACTCGTAAAAAAAAAAAACAAAAAAAAAAACAAAAAAAAAACAAAAAAAAAAACAAAAAAAAAAACAAAAAAAAAAAAAAAAAAAAAAACAAAAAAAAAAAAAAAAAAAAAAAAAAAAAAAAAAAAAAAAAAAAAAAACAAATATAATTAGTAATAAAATAAATCAATATTTTTTTTAATAATCCTCTGGTAAACAACTCCAAAAAACTGAACTATAGAAAAAATATACTATAGAAGACATTAAAGAGTAATAATATACTTGGTTTTATGCAAGTATATGTGTTATTGATGAAGTACTAAGAATATAAAACTAAAGCGTGAACTACTTTGAACTGTTTTTGTAGAGTTTAAACTTTTTTGCTAGATGGACTCTTCTATTATATTCGGCATCCAAACTAGAAGAATATTCTAAGAACACAGAATAACTAGGTTGACACTAGGTATATTAAAAAAACTAAAGATAGTCTCTATACAACTATAAAATATATTAGAAAGAACCTACAAAGTTTCATTGCCCACCACTTTTTTTAAGAAAATTTTGTTAAAAAATAGATGTTTTAGCTTATCTTCTCCAAAAGATCGATATGTAATTTTCTAAAACAGTCAATATTGTTTATCTTCCAAATCAGGTTGATTATTTTTTAAAACAGATTGTTTACTTTTAGTAAATACAAAATCGATGCTATCCAGATTAAGCAACTGAGCATGTCTAAATAACAATATAATTAGACAATGTGTCTCAACTAAAAAAAACTATTTAAACAATACTTTGATACTAATAGTATCTTTTAACTACTTTGTCTAGTTTAGTCTAGTTTAGTTTAAATCTATTATTTTTGTTTTTTTGTACTAATTAGATATATTATTAGGATAGAGTTAAATACAGAGCTTTTTTATCTTATAATATATAATTTTTGTTAGCCTGATACAGGCTTATAATTGTGACTATCTAATTTTTTTTTACTCTTGTCCTTTCCTCTTTCCTCTTTTTTAGTATTAGTATTAGTGTTAGTATTTTTTTCTTTTTTTTACTTTTTTATAAGAAAATATCATTAGATTGATGATATTCTATTGTAGGATAGTGGTCTGATATAGCCTTCTAGGATAAATAATCTTCAAATTTTTTGTTGATTTATTATAATATGTCTTTTGTAGATTTATTTGCCTAGTGTAGCAGATCGCTTGTAAGTGCTTTTAGAAGTAATTGTAGAATATTAGGCCTAAATATTAAGCTCAATGTTTTGTATAGCCTGTGACAAAATAATCTTAATAAAAGATCATTAGCAAGACTGCCAAAGTTGAAAAAAAACTTTATATACAAAATTACAAAAACAAAACATTAACAAAAATACATAAATGCTAGTAAAAAAAAGATTTAATACTCTAAGAAAAAGAAAAAGAATCAAAAATAATATTGTCTTTTAAGAAACTAGAATAAGAAGAGTAAAAGTAGCAGAAATATAGAAAAAAATATTAAAAATTATCAATAATTTTAAGAATTGTTTAGAGAATTGGCTTTGATCTTGTAATACAAATTAGTTTTTATTATACAAAATACATAATATAAAATAAAAAATAAACAAAAAAACTATATTAAGAACCATAAAAATAAAAATAAAGAAGATATAAAATATAACAACCAAATAGTTATATAAAAAAAAAACAACAGAAAATTCTAAAAAAGTTAACTATAGTAGAACAGACAAAGATATAAATAGATGCACTTTATAAAAAATTAAAACAATATAAGGCAAGAGAAATCAAATACACAAAACTTGTACTTAGAAATAGAAACAATACAAAATATTAAAAAACAATACAATGTAAAATCAACCTAATTAAATATATTATATATAAAAAAATAAATAAAATAATATGAAACTTATATATAGCAAAAAGAGTAAAATAAATAGTATATAACAAGAAAAAACAAGCTGCTAAGTATATAAAGTTAAACTGAAATATGGATAGTAGAAGAAACTAGATGAATAGAGAAATATAGACAAAAGCAGCATAATAAAATTGTATTACAAATACAGTCTAATCTTTATATAATTCTACAAGATACAAAAAGTGATAATTATATAGAAATGTAACTATTATAAAGGGTTTTCTATATAATTACAATTATAATAAAGGTTTTTACTTAAATTACCAGTGGTGATCATCACCGATATATAATTAACAAATAATGATAAACTAAAAAAATTATTTCATTTTATTTACTTTAGGGTTAGGGTAAGGCCTGAAATTTTAGCAAGGTGTTAGATATATATAAAATTTAGCGAGAAATTTTTTTGTTAGAATGTCGAAGGTAGTTTCATAGACGAATTCTTAAGATATTAGCATTTTTTTAAAAAAATCTTTATTTTGGTTATACAAATTGATTTGCATGTTACATCTAATCCTGCAATTTTATTTGCTAATTATGCACCGGTGATGATCACTACCAGTTATAATTAGTAAAATTCTATAATAAATTATAATAAAAATATAATTTGTGATTATATAGAAATTATTTAATTACAGATTACTATAATGAATTAACATTTAGTTTGGAATATGACAAAAATCAGATGATTTTTTAGGAAGAGAAGGGTAAAAAATATAAAATTATATAAAGACCTGATCAAAATAAATAATAAGAGGAACTCTCTCCAACAATTACTTGTACCAACCAGTACCCGAAAGCAAGTAGAAGACTCAAGACCAGAAGCGAACTGTTATGAATGAAAATTAGGATAGTCAATTACGGTCATAATCGATGATCGGATGCATATTTGTTTGTATTGGCGCATCATAATAGATAGCATATTTAGCACATTTAGGATAATTAGGATATCCGAGATATTTAGCATAAATGGCATAATTAGAACATCTAGCATATATAGCACATAAGTAAATAGTATATAAGTATAGCATTTTATTAGAATGTAAAGGGGTCTCACAAACATCGTAATTAATAAACTATATATTTGCTCCGTCAAATCGAATGTTCTCTTTCGAGACATTATAGTATTATCATTGAATGTTATGCAAACCCTTTCTCGGTTTACGCTACGGAATAGAGATTTTTAGGCGTACGTTTTACAGAAGTATTACAGAACAAATAACTTGTAGTTTTCTTAATACAAACTGTTGTTGACAAAGTTTTTAATGTGATATACCGAGAAGCAGGCGTTTTGGATGGTTTGCAAAGGGGTCAAGCCTTTCTTCTCTTTGGTGGACTCCCTTTTGTGTTCAGCATCCAAACCGGAGGGGTCTCCGGGAACAGTGAGTAAAGAGAAGACTCAAATTATATTAGGAACTGAAGGCTATGAAGAACTCTTGGAACAACACTCTTTGGTTGGAAAACTCGCACAACTATATTTTTCCTGCCGCTCTCTTTTTTCATAA